GAAACTGCCCGGGATTCGATGACGTCGTTGGCGATTCAGCAACAACAAGAGGTGTGATTTTGGATGGAACAATTCAACTTTTGGGATAAAATCAAGATGATTTTGGCCCAAAAAGTTTATATAGCGCCCTCTAGCACCACCTTAGTATGGGGAAGTTTTCTGTACTCAATTTTGAATATTCCTTGAATAGAAAAATGAACATGCCACCTTTCTATAATTTTCTCTTAACCACAGGCTCTAAAACCTGTTAAAATTTTACTAAAATCATGGTCATCATTCTTACCCACAGTGTATGAAGGGAGATGATGATTCTAAGGAAGACATGACTTCTATACCGGTACAAGAAACTGCCCGAGATTCTATGACGTCGTGGGCGACTCAGCATCAACAACAGGTGTGATTTTGGATGGAACAATTCAACTTTTGGGATAAAATCAAGATGATTTTGGCCCAAAAAGTTTATATAGCGCCCTCTAGCACCACCTTAGTATGGGGAAGTTTTCTGTACTCAATTTTGAATATTCCTTGAATAGAAAAATGAACATGCCACCTTTCTATAATTTTCTCTTAACCACAGGCTCTAAAACCTGTTAAAATTTTACTAAAATCATGGTCATCATTCTTACCCACAGTGTATGAAGGGAGGTGATGATTCTAAGGAAGACATGACTTCTATACCGGTACAGGAAACTGCCCGAGATTCGATGACGTCGTGGGCGACTCAGCATCAACAACAGGTGTGATTTTGGATGGAACAATTCAACTTTTGGGATAAAATCAAGATGATTTTGGCCCAAAAAGTTTATATAGCGCCCTCTAGCACCACCTTAGTATGGGGAAGTTTTCTGTACTCAATTTTGAATATTCCTTGAATAGAAAAATGAACATGCCACCTTTCTATAATTTTCTCTTAACCACAGGCTCTAAAACCTGTTAAAATTTTACTAAAATCATGGTCATCATTCTTACCCACAGTGTATGAAGGGAGGTGATGATTCTAAGGAAGACATGACTTCTATACCGGTACAGGAAACTGCCCGAGATTCGATGACGTCGTGGGCGACTCAGCATCAACAACAGGTGTGATTTTGGATGGAACAATTCAACTTTTGGGATAAAATCAAGATGATTTTGGCCCAAAAAGTTTATATAGCGCCCTCTAGCACCACCTTAGTATTGGGGAGATTGTTTAAACACATATGTAGCTATTGATCCGACCCAAATAATGTTTATACCAAATTTGACAGCATTTGAATGAAAAATGTAGAACGTTATGCCCCATATACTGTGTTTTAGATAAATAGAAAATAAAATTGAAAAAGCCAAGCGTCCTCTTGTGGTGGCAGCAGCAGAACAAATCTCGCCAAATAGTTGGAAAAAAGGCCAAAGGCCAGAAAATCTTCACCTGGGCCACTAATGTAACAATGCACTTTACCCACAATGCCTTACATCTACAGCCATAGACTTGTGCATGTGTCAGTCTTTTATCTTGAGTCTGTTACCACAGGCTTCAGTCTGTTACCGCGGTTTATTTGAATAATAACAAATCGTTATGTAAATTGTCTATGTCAATTTTGTTCATGGGTTAATGACTACAGAGATTCCAAAATAGAAAGTTAATCTAATTTATGAAACAGACTAAAAAAAAAACTTTTTTGGTATTTCGGTAACAGACTGACAATAAATTTGGTAAAATAAAAGCAGCTCATTTTGGGGTAAAATGCAAAAACAAAATTCTGCCTTTGTCAAAATGTCTGCCTTTGAACCAATGAATACTTTTTTTCACCCATTTGTGGGTCAAATTTGCATTAAATGTGAAATTGAATGACATTTTTGTATTCTGTATTTTATCAGCTTCAGAATAGTAGCTATCGGTAACACGATTATTTATTATGAAAAACAAATGTTGTCCTCCAGGCTGGCATTTTCTGGAAATTGCTGAGGCACCTAACTTCCTCCAATCAAGAGTATGACCAATCGGAGGGAAGCAAGACTGATCACTGTCTTCCAGAGGTAAGGCCATGATTTTCAAAAAAACAGGCTCTTTTTTTTTTCTTTATTCCCTTCCTAACATGGCGCGGCCCCTATACGTAGCCCACTTTGATTTTTCGCCTGTAGCGCCTAGCTAGAGCACAAGTTTAACTGAAATTTCACAGACAGTTGAATTTTATCAAGTTCTAAACACTCCCGTTCATAAATCACGAGTTTACATGTATCTAGACCGATTACAAAGTTAGAAGAAAAATTTACTTCAGCGTGATTTTTCCGATTTTATTTTGAAGTGCACAGTGAACCCTTTGAAAATGTCCCCCCCCCCCCCCCAAAAGAAAACCCTTTGAAAATGTCCCCCCCCCCCCAGCCTTACCTGGACATGCCCCTCTTTTGGGTCACTGTTTAGGGTATTAATGTAAAGCCCTTGTGAGTTGTCCACAAGTTTGCTGTACTTCAATTTTTGTCTCATGTTTTCACAGTCTCATATTTTCATATTTTCACGTAGTCAAAAGAGAAAGCATGGAACTTCCATTTCAACTCAAGAAAGTTACCAATGGTTTCTTTCTTCTTCTTTTTTGTGAGAAAAGGACCTGAAAGTTCACCACTGGTGGCACGCTACTGGATCTATCATGCAAAAAAATTCTCCTAAACACACTGACTCTTAAACACATTGACTTTTTCACATTCAGTGAACAAAAACAATGCAATAATGGTCTTTGTTGATGTGAAGCTGAACTTGTGTTTTCTCTTTCGCACTAAAATTTCTCTTTTTCAGGAGGCAACAACCAACAGCGAGGACAAAAAATCAAATGATCAATTTAATGGGTGTTTCATCAACGCCGAGGATTTGATTAACAAAACTTGGGGTAAGGTAGCTAATTATCTAGATGTAGATATACCAAGAGAATGGGATGTTATTGGAATAGCAGAGACGTGGCTTAAAGAGGATACTCTTCCGAAACATATAAGGAGGGATGGTTATGAATTTCTTATCCAAAATAGAGAGCGAGGGAAAAAAGGCGGTGGTGTTGGTCTGTATGTGCGTAATGACATCGATTATAAAAGACGACCTGATATGACGATACCAGTAGAAGGGTGCCCAACCCCATGTGATTCCCTTTTCATTGAGATTCTCCGACCACCTGGTAAAAATATCATTGTTGGTGTTGTTTATGTTCCTACATCTATAGCCAAAAAAAAAAAAAAACCTTATCAAAAATTTATAAAATCTTTCAGAAATATCCTTTCAATGATAAACAAGGAAAACAAAACGTCTTTCATAATGGGGGACTTCAACATCAATCTTTTTAGCAAACATCACACCGTCACAGAGTTTAAGGAAGCTGTCTCCGATAACGGCCATTACACTCTGATCAATGGACCAACTCGCATAACTGCCACAAGTAAGACGCTGATCGACAACATCATAACAAACGCAGACCCTAAACCCACAGCGGGGATTCTGAACAGTGATATTTCAGACCATAAACTAATATTCGTGTTGTCTTCAGCTCGGATTGTACAGACAAGGTGGGAACTATTTTGCTTTTTTGGTGTCCTCATGTACATTGGTGGCCTCCATAATTTGCCTTGGTGCTTTCGATCATTTGCCTTGGTGCAATTTCCCATTCCTTGGTGCTCTTTGGTAAAAAAAAATGAGGAGGTGCGGAAATAGAGGGCGCTGTTGGAGCTACCGCGGAACATTTTGGAAAAAAAAAAGATCGACGCGCATGCTTAAAATCGACACGCGCGCTGACCAGAGACCGACTTTTTTTTTTTTTTGGCCTAATTACCAGCATGCCAGACTCCAATCAGTCTTAAACATAGTGTGTAACACCTCCAAGCACAAATTTATTCCCTTAAAGGGCTAGCTCAGTTTAGTTTTAAGTGAAACTGGCGCTGTCAAGTAAAATATTAATTCGCCTTACGTGCAAATATTATATAAGTAGCAAGTTTTTAAGCCCGTGCTTTCTAGAGCTAGTTCATATAGTTATTGCAACACATTGCATAATTTACACGATAATTATTATTACAACTGAAGTGCTGTTGTAGCTCAATTGCATTAACGGTGCAGGGATTTTTTTAGTTTCCCAAAGTTTGTTTTCTTTACTTTTAGTTTTATTGATTAAAATCAAATCCTAATTTTCTTTTTATATCAATTATGTAATTTTTTCTTTCTAATTTTGGGATTCTTTTGTCAAGGAAAGTTACATCATAAACATGTAAATATCTGCTTTACTATGTCACATACGTACTCACCAAAGTTTTGTCCTGTAATGTATTGTTATCTCAACAAAACATTTGTGTGTACATGCGTAAATAGCAAAACTACTGACACATCGTCACCGTTTTGACAAAGTGACAAATCTGCGCGCACAGCTGCAAAACCGAGTTTTGAGAAAATCGAATTTGAAGTTGGTCAGTTTTTTAGATTGTGTTTTCGTTTATCTTTCTCCCCCAAAAATTGAGAAAAAAAAAATATCTGATGCAATAGCCCAGTAGTTAAATAGCCAAAAAAACTGTGTCTGTTTTCATAAAACCATGTTTAATTAGGAGACATTACTTACTAAAGATATTTGTCCCTTCGTCAAAACCCAAATTCGTCGCGCACATATACATGTATGCGTATATTTGAGAACACAGATTCATCACTTCGTCAAAACACACAAATTGTAAAGGTTACATGTACATGAATCTGATTACCGGTATTTAGCACACAAGTAAAATCAATGAGACCAAGTGACGAATACAAACTGATTTTGTTATAAATTAATTACTTGTGTCATTAGCATAATTATTGATGATGACATTTTGTGTCACAAAATTTGGTAATCATGGTAGAGGACATCACAAAATGCTAGAAAATCTCAAATTGTTAGAAATCTTGGTTTTGGACGGATTTGTCACTTCGTCAAAACGGTGATGACAATGATGGTGAATGGACCTACATGTATAAAAAGTTGTTTCTCACTCATGAATATGTATGAGGTATAGTAATCCCCCAGTACCTTTGATATATAGCATTAGTGTGAGGTGCACTGTACACAGTCCGACAGAAAGTTCAGATCATCGACTGACAGTCACTTGTAGCTCATACCGGTATTTGGGCCTCTGCTCTTGCACCTTTTACCTGAAGAACAAAATGAAAATGATCAAGATTCAGAACACCAAGGTGAGGCAAGCATATATATAAGTAAAGCTTGACCCAGAGTGCACATAATTGTATTCGACTGATTGACTGGCTATCTATCTGAATTTTCATTAGATGGAATTTTGGGTCGGGGTGATGTAAATGGTACTTAATAGGTTTTGCACTTCACAGACGTGTGTTACCTCCCGAGTGAAAGTTGAAAAAAAACACTCGGCTGGGACTCGAACCCACGACCTCCTGCTTTCTAGTGCAGATGTCTTACCACTCAGCCACCCAGCATGCCCAGCTAACAGGATTGGTTGGCTGGTTCGAATCTATAGCAGCGGGTACCGCATTTCACTATTCATAAGTTGGAATTTCGCGTCAGGGTGATGTAACTTTGATGTGATATAATTTTGCATCGGGGTGATTTTTTTCACTTGGGAGGTAACACACTGAGTATATAGTGTTTATACATCGGTGAAGGGCAAAACCTAATTTGATATCTGAATTTCGTTCATGCACGTGTTCTACACAACGGGCCAGGTTTTAGTCCAGTCGTTTGCATTATGGAGTAATCCTATACAACAGCACTGCCCAGTTCACTTGGGGAGTCAGTCAGTAGTTGGCCAGTCAGTCAGTGAATCGATCAGTCTGTCAGTCGGGTAAAATGAGGACACTAGGGTGTCTCTTCAATTAATTTCCACGTCCAAAAAAATTGGAAGTCAAAATTCACATATTATTGTAAATAAATTTCATTTCATTAAATATTACATCATGTATGTTCTTCTTTTTGAATTTATATAATCTGCTTGTTTTTGCTAAAATTATGCACTTATCTATTGTTCTTTTCCATCCCTATCTCTCTCCACCCCCCCCCCCATATGACCCCACCTCCCCTAGGCTACCCTAATCAACAAACTTAACAAACAATAGGGGGGCGGGGCAGGCGGGGCGAGCGGAGGGAGGACTTTTATACATAAGTGCATAACACTTGCTTAGCTGTACATTGCTTTTTAGAATTCATTTCATACGTACATATACTGGTAGATGCTTTTAGTGTTACTTTTAAGCTACAGTTAATTAGTTTGTCTTATTCATAGGATGGAATAGTTTGTCTTATTTGGGCCTAAATAAATACATAATGCATGAAACGCATCTGTCGTCAGTGTTAATTTTATTTTTATGTATTTTTTATGTCATCTGAAGAAAAAAAAACCTACACATGGTGAACTTTAAGATTTTGAGAAAGGTTACCATTAAATATGCAGCCAATTTCAAGAAACCGTGCGTAACTTCCATGCATAGGATTTAAGCGGCAAATTTGTTACACTGCTAGCTGTGCAATAAACTTATGATCTATTTCACAAAACTTGGCATAGCTGCGCAATGGGGCGCAACAGTACCGGTACCACTTACAACTTCACTAAACTTGGGAAAATCCTAATTACTTGAATTTTGTTCAATTGGTAATAAAATTCAGTAATATTTTCAAATAAATTTCCAAATTTTCCAATAATTGGGATGCGATCAAGCTAAATGAGTCGTTTGTCGGGGACTCTCATTTGGATTTTCTTGCCAAAATAGGGCCACTTCATCACATCTCTTTGAGTTCCGACTTCCATAATTTTTGATCTAAAGATGGTATCATGTATAGTCCTTCTGAGTATTCGTTGCACTCGGCGCAGGGGCGGCAAGCGAAGCATATGAAAGAATAGGGACACTTGGTGGCCACGCACCATGGACAAAAAATATTTTACCAAGGTCACCACATACTAACGTTTGGTGAACGCTTTCGCAGAAGGGCCGAGTAGAACACGTAAACGGAACCCCTACGTTGACCTCGCTGACCTCGCACAGTCTAGACACGCAGAAAAGCCAGCACGGGGGGCGGCCAGGCAGTCAACGTGAAAGCGCACACGACGGCAAATTCCTGCGCAAAATGCAGTCACGAAAAATCGACGAAACGGATCGCCGGTCCGTACAGGAAAATTAGGACGACCCGAAGCGTCCGACCCGGCGGAAGACACCCTCCGTATTTTTCCACGGACGTGGAGCGATTTTGGGGCCGCGGGAGCCCGCGGTCTCGGATCCTTTCAGGAGCAAACATCGTCTCGGGGGCGAGTAAACTTCTCTCTTATATATATAGATATACGTGTACAATTCATGTTCAATTTCCAGACACAGCCCCCTGTACATTTTGCAATGAGAAAAATCTCCATACAAGGAGTTGTGTACACCTTTCTGGTTTTTGACCTAAAAGTTTTGGGTTTTATTTTGCCCAAAAAGGTATTTAAGAATGCGTTCAGTTCGGGTAATTAATCAGCACCCCAGACTCCAAGTGGTCTTAAACAGAGTGATTAAAACATCCCCAACACACAGTTATTCCCTTATTAAAAGAACAAGGCTGTTTTGGCCAACCCCCCCCCCCCCCCCCAAAAAAAACAATCTTAAAGAAAGCAAAGGCTGTTTCGCCAAATTTAACAGCCAATAATCTTGAAATTTATTTCCAGGTACTGTACCGTACCAGTCATCAGGCAATTTTTGATCGGTCCCTTGTTTTCTTTAGTTTGGAGCAGCTCGAGTACGGTGAGTCCGAAGGGCGCCACTGTGTATTCAGATACTGTACATGGCAATGCATGGACAGGAGTACCAGCTATTTCAAGAAACAACTACTGTGTCATTCATTAACTATTGCCAAAACAACAGAAACTTAAAAAATAAAAGGGGGTTTAGGTGTTTTTTTATTTTTTGAGAAACATATTTTCTAAATTGATCAAGTTGAATTGTTCATGATCAGGTGCGTATATTTTGGGCAAACACAATTGAACGAGGTGACGTGATCAGGACGTGACCTGACCACGTGACAACTGCGCTTGCGTACATGCAGTGACATCGTGCTAAACGGAAAAGAGGAATTCCAATTTGATATCCATCGTGAACATTTGTGCACGGAGACGCTGAATTTCTTAAGCCTGATTGGTAAGTTTCATGTAATAAAATATGTATGATTTTACACAGTGACAAAGTGCATACTCCAAACGTTTCCTGAAAATAATATCTCCTCAGACATTAGGAACAAGTAAACTCAAAGTTCCCTGGTAATACTACCCACATCTATGTACATGTTGAGTCAGTGAGGCCTACATTGCGCAGGGTGATTATTGAACTGAGTGAGAATTACAGATTACACACAGGCATTCAAATTGAAGATTTTACTTTTAAAGTCCTGGCGATTTGCTTTTGAAGTTGAACTTATCCCTCTGAAAAATTAAATCCATTCCAAGTAATTAACCATTCATATTTCTGGAGGAAATTAGAAATGGAGTTAAAGTGATAATTTCGGGCGGATATTATCAATTAAACTTATTTTGCATGACCGTCTTTCTGCAAATTTCATGATGGCACCCCCCATTCAAAATGGTCTAGCGACGCCCATGTCCTCAATCCATCAAAATCCACCTTTTTTCAATATGGAGGTATCCTGAATCTGCCAAAATTCTCCAAAACAGGGTTATGGATTCTGATGGTTTCAGGGAAGTTAGGCTCAACCCTTAAGAGACTCCTTAAGAGACAAGCTTGTAACAAGTTGTGATCATGAACATACAATATTTGGAATAAACAAAGTGACTTTCAGATGATAAGTTATTTCTCTGGAATGGATGATAACTTTTTAAATAGGTTAAAATCTTATAAAGTATGTTTTAACCTACCGTAACTCCCTAGGGGGTGTGCAAAATCGTATTGAATTTGGAGGATTCAGGACTGTTAGGGCTATGATTTTCCAGATTTTTTTTGGCAACTATATGGCCACTCGGGGAATGTTATTTAAGACACAGGGACTTTTTGTTCAAATTGTGATCCCAAAAATTGGCTCATTGAAAACAGTTGTGCATAAGTTATTTGCTTGCTGAAACAGCAATGAATCACCCCCCCCCCCCCCGTACAAAAATCCCCCCCCAAAAAAAATACCAAAGTCATTACATACAGTAGGCCTACAGTTATATTTGTGTGAACTGTTCTGTAGTTAAAGCTATAGTCCATCATTTGTAATTTGTGCATTTTGTTCATTTGAAGCAACAAAAGAGTTCAAAATCTAATAAAGGATACTAAGCAACTAACCTGATAAAGTTTCAGCTAAGCTTCAGCTGTACATTCCGAGAAAAAACAGCATTCTAAGATCTCAATTTCAAATCAAAAGTTACTGAATCATGTTTTGAATTGCAGCTACATGTATACGCGACGTCGCGCACTGATCCGACGAATTATAACAACCGCGCGCGCGTGTGCGTCGTTCCAATACTTGCGCGCGCTGCGCTGAATAACAAAACGAACTACTAATTTAAATTTTCCTACGGTGCTTCTTAAGAATCACCGTTGGAAATGCCTTCTTTCGTTGATTACTTTAAAATGACAGCTTCCCAGAAAGAATAATTTCACAGGGAGTTTAGTTCCCCACTATCTTTCAACTAAGTTTGTTTTTCAACAATAATCACGCCATCAGTTACTTTTCGGATGGCTGCAAATGATGGACTATAGCTTTAAGCATAAACACACAAAAAAACACTTGAAAATGGCAATATATGATTGACAATAAGTTCAATTGGACACAAAGGTACATTGTCAACGACCACATTAACCCTAACCTTCCCAACTCTTTCAAAATTTATCCCCTCATTTTTTGATGGATTTGGGGACTTGGTCCTGCAGGCCTGGTGTGACTAAATACTGATGGAGTATGATGGACTTGGGCCTGGAGGCCTCAAGCAACGCATGCGTTGGATGCAGTGTATTTGATGGATTTAGGGGGGACTTGGTCCTGCAGGCCTGGTGTGACATTTTGATGGAGTATGATGGACGTGGGCCTGGAGGCCTAAAGCAAAGCATGCATTGGAAGCAGTGTGATTGATGGATATTGGCGGGCTTAAAGAAAATTAGGGTTAAAGAAAATTGCTGTACGTCGTCATCATGCACAAAGGGGGGGGGGGGGGGGGGGGGGT